GATGTTGTAGGAAATCAGATCTAGGTTAGACATAAACTACGGTAGTACAATATGTGAGTAAAACAGGTGATGCAGTTACCTTAGCTTTGTAATCTACAACCCCAGTAAAATCCTTCCCTTTGCAAAAAGAGTTGTAGGATCACTCCACCCAAAAGGCATATTTTAGTATAAGGTGCATGAGTCACCCACAGATTCCTCTTATTTTCTGATAATGGAGTTCCCGGCTCCATCTACTGGTCAATTATCAATGGCATTTCAACCTCTTCATTAATGTAACATCATAAAAAATGCGCCGGGGTTCCACTTCCACAGCCGCATAATTCCACGGGCAGCAAGGGCTTAACTGATAAGAGATCTCCGAAGGTCTGTTTAGTTCTTTTTTCTCTTTTCTTTTCCTCAGGGTCTTGGTTTATCTCCTGTCTTTTGTCTTTATCTAATTCTGCAGACATCCTATTGCTGCCCCTAATCTGAGATGAGCAGTGGCTTTGGTGGTTACATTTGATCTTGCAGTTGGAAGAAGATTGTGCATGAAGTCTCTGAGAATCTAATTTAGCTCACAAAATGAAAGCTCGCCTCTTACAATACAGCATAGTTTTTTGAATTTTTAAATGGTGCGGTAGTAAATGAGGCGATTTACAAATCAGGGTATTCAGTGCATTTTTATGTGGTTATTTTTAGAAGGAGCTTTCATCTGGACCCACCTAGCAGGTTCACCGCTCCATATCATATTATATCTTCTGGTCGGTCCTGAGTTGCCAACAAAAAAGGTAGCAAATGATGGATTGCCATGTGGATATGGCAGACATGTCAGAGAACCAAGCAAGTCCCTTTTAATAGAGACTGGTAAATAGGTCTGGCACTGTGCATGAAATGCCTTCTACGGCTTCCATCTCTTCATCTCTTCAGAAAGAAAGCATTATGCCTGGTTAGAGACCAGTAAACTGTTGGCATAGCAATAAAAAAAAAAAGGTGAAAAACATTGGTGAAATGTGCAGTACAGATTTTGGTGGTTATTTTCCCCAACAAAAACAAGCCGAGAACTGTCCACAAATGCTCTATAAAGAGGCTACTATGAAAAAGTACAAGATCAGCTGTACATGGAGCGATGCTGCCCTCCTCTGGTGGAGTACCAGAACACACTCACTGCCGATTTGAGGACGTTTTCCATCAGACACATCGCACCAATAATTGTATTGTAACTGTACTGTCTCCCCCATTTTGTAGTGCGCTGCACAAATGGTTGGCACTGTATACATCCTGTATAATAATAATAATATAATAACTTCCTGTCCTGCTGACAACAATTTACCAGACAGGAAGTGAGGGTAAGTCCCCATTTACATCTAGGCATCTTGTCGTGCAAACCTATTCATTCAACTAAGCCAGGGGTAGGCAACCTTGGCTCTCCAGCTGTGCTGAAACTACAAATCCCATAAGGCATTGCAAGCCACAGGCATGACTCCCAGAGGCAGAAGCATGATGGGATTTATAGTTTCAGCACAGCTGGAGAGCCAAGGTTGCCTACCCCTGAACTAAGCCATTCATTCCTTTGGCCACCTAAGCGTGTTGTCTCAAGCTGTAAAACGCCTGGCGCTCAAAAAGTACATGAGTTTCTTTTGGCAGTGTACACATTTGCTTATTTCTACTGTCTCAGAAGCCGGCAGCTAAAACACGCGACTTAACGTACACACAAAAGTGTAGAAGACGCTTAGAAGTGATAGGTGAAAACGCACATGGATACGTGAAAAAACACGTATATAGGTGTGAATGTGGGCTTAATCAGCAACACAGACAGAAAATGTGTTCTAATCCTTCCCCCACTCCATTTAAAACTAGAAAAAAAATGTTTTGGGCTTGACATAGACTTTAACAACAGCAAGTAATGCCAATCTGCAGCTTCAAGAGCAAGCAAGATACTTTCTTGGATGCAGGCATAGAGTGCAGAGAGAGGGACATAGTCATCCCCTACTCCAAAGTATTAGTAAGACCTCATCTTAAATATGTAATTCAGTTTTTGGTATCAGTTCACAAAAAGGATGTTCAGGGACTGAAAAAGAACTCCATCTAAATAATTAAAGGGCTCGGGGACCTCAGCTGTGAGCAAAAGTTAGCTAAACTGAATTTGTTCTCATTTGAGAGGTGACAATTTAGGAGGAATATGATCAGCTTGTATAAATACATTCATTGTCCAGCAAACTTGGTGAAATGTTGTTCACTTTATGGTCATTGCAAAAGACACAGGGGCACTCACTGGAAACCTGGAACTGGAGGATTTCAACCTCAGCATCTGGATTGAGCTCTAAAAATGTGGACCAGCCTTCCCCAAGGGTTGGCTGTAGCTGATTAAGCAGATCACTTTGTAAAAGTGCTGTATGTGTTTCTAAGTGATCAAAATAGAAGCAGCCGCTAATATTTTTAGGAAAAAACATTGTAGACGGTAGATTCTGGGAGTTTCCAATTGCCTTTGCCTGTCTGCCTTGCTACGTCAGGTTGACCAAATTCAGTTTGTTACCAAAGAGGGGTTCGGCCCTCATATAGTAGTTTGTTTTATGTAATGCTTCTATATTTACAATTGTGGTTTCCTACTTGTGGAATTTTGGGTCCACGTCTTCCTGTTCTGTTGTCCCTTCCTTGATTCTGTGAGGTATTTAGGGGACATAGTAGACTAGAGGAATTTGGCTACAACTAAAGCTGAGATTGGCTGAAATGTAATATTTCTCTATTTAAACCATCAATAGATTTGCATATTGGGGGCAAGTTGTGATCCCATTGACACCCCATATTCTGCAAATTGAGCTCCTGGCCATTAGAAAAGTAATTATGGGTCAGGGTTAATCAATGTGAACTTTCCCAAGTCGATTACCAATGTAAGCAATTTGTCCTTGGAAGCATGATGTGGCGGGCTTGCTCTAACACTAATATACACAACCCCTAAGTCTCCTTTCACATGGGCAACGTCCATTCCGATCAGCAGGTAATCCGTTAACAGATCACCTGCTGAATCTGACCTGAACTGAATGAATGTGACTTTTGGGTCCATTCAGTGTTTTCCCTCCATTTTATTAGCTTAATGAAGCCATGTTAGTCTTTGGGCCTGTGGATGAAAACGGACGCCCTATTCCCTCACGTCACATCAATCCGTCACGTTTAGGTTTAAGAAAATGGAAAAGGATGCAAACCTTTTAATATTTTTTTTTGGTCTTGGTAAACGGATGTAAACAGTTGCACGTCGGTTTACACCCACCGGCCCGCAGACTAACACTGAGTTTTCAATCAGAGCCTCCTAACAATAAAACTGACAGGCGAATCGGACTAGAACACCCATGTGAAAGAGGCCTAACACTGATGGAAACAAAGTATAGAAAGCTGCAACTTTCTATAAGCTGAGTGCACCACTTTTATTTTCCCTCAACACCGCCAGGGGCCCCTTAGAGTCTGGGCCCCCCTGGCTGCCACTCATTTTGCCTTTATTATTATCCTCCACCGATGCAGTCAGCCTTACTAGTGTTGACCGGAGCGGCAAGGCTCCATTCACACATACAGTTTGTGTGATTTTCCATGCAGCAAATTTTAACATACACACGGATTCCGCTAGTTTGAGGCTACTACTATAACTGGAAGGCGCAGTCCACCCAGAACATTGCGCTTGGACTTTTTTTTACACAACACGCGTTTTTGTACCACGCAGGTGTGAACAAGATACATTGGAATGTATTGTTTTTTTATGCTTAGTGGGTTTCCGTGCGTAAACGGAAGACACACTGCCAACACACTGCTGGGTAAGGACGCAATGAGTGGAGGCCTGGCGCCCAATCAGGGCATAGTTGCACGCTCCTGAATGGTACAAGATGAAATGGTGCCTGCTACCCTTACAGGACCTGCAATGTGAAAAAGGGAGCCATGGCTACCCCCAGGTTAGAATAGTACTTTGCTTCTGGGGAAGGGAGTACAGTTTGACAGATACCCCAGACCTCTCATCATCCCCCACCTAATATGATGTGCGCCACTTACGGATGCTCTTTAGAAGTAACAGCACACACAATATCCATGGGGAAAGAGCCGAGGTGAATATCTCTGATCAAGAAAAGTAAAACTCCTGCACAGCACAAATCGCTACAGCGACGCAGCCCCTCTACTCTCCCACTTCCACCACAAAACTCCTAGCATCATCCATTCAGCACCAACCGCCGCGCCCGCAATCTGAATATTTTTGTCCCTCTTCGGTCGCCGTACACCTAAAGTAGATGCAGTCACCGCCCACAGATTGTTTCTGGTCCTGCCTTCCGCCCAGGATCTTTGAGCTTTTCTGTCCCCACCCGGCCGCCGTGTGGTTGCGCTGCCAACCAGCCCCAAACAATCCAGCATGATAGGGGCGGGGCCTGCGAGAGATTGACAGACCGGTCATGAGGGGTTTCAGGGGCCAGACAGAGCCGGGGAGCCCAGACGGTTAGATAATAAAGGAGAACCTAGTGTAAATAGTGGAGTGTCGCAGTGCACCGAGAACAGGGGGTCAGGGCACACAGGACTAGAGAGGACCGGTGAAGGTGTTGGGGTGTCACCGTGTGCAGGATTGGGGGTTTCAGCAGTTGGAGCAAATGAAGGGACAGCACAGCTGGTATAAGGAGGGTCCGGAAGAGCAGAGATTGGGGTGGACAGAGAATTAAAGTCTGCAGTCTGGAGTAGCAGACATTATGGAAAAAGCATGGCCAGGGATAGTGGTACCTGGAGGGATAGGTGGGGAACCAGTATGTCAAGGACTGGAGGTACCTGCAGAGTCAGATGGGGTAACAGTAAGTCCGAGATTGAAGGTACCTGGAGGAGCAGATCAGGTAACAGTATGTCCAGGACTGGTGGTACCTGGAGGGGCAGATGGGATAACTGAATGTCCAAGAGGTGGGGTAACAGTGTATCCAGGACTGGAAGTACCTAGAGGGGCAGATGGGGAAACAGTATGTCTGGAATTGGGGGTACCTGGTGGAGGAAAAGAATGTCCAGGATTGGGGGTGTCAGGAGGAGCAAGGAACATGATAGCACAGAAAACTGCCCAGGCTGACCTTGGGGTCCGCAGTAAAAAGAAAGGGGTTTCTGGAGAGCAGGAGGGGCCAATAAGGCACGCTGGGGGCGGGGATTCTCCAGGAAGCCATCAAGTGGTCGCCAGTGGAAGGTTGGACCAGAAGGGCACAGCCATTAAAGGTGAAAGAGGTCAGAGTAAGGGGGATCAGAGGCAGGAAAAGAGGAGTGCCCAAAAAAAGGCAGAATCCAGGGTGCAGAGGAGAACGGTCACCGTAGACAGCTCCAAGGCCAAGACATCACTGGAGGCTTTGAGGACTAGCATTAAGCAGCTGCGCTGGAAGGAGGTGAGACCTAACCTTTTAACGCTTCCTTTGCTACAGCTCACTCATTGGTCCGATCAACTGATACTCCAGGTTACCCTCCAGTTTAATCTACTTACACTACAGATCACTCTCCAGTATAGTTGGACAATACTACAGGCAGCGGTGTATTTAGGTTTCGTGCTGCCCCAGCAAGACGAAACTCAGCACACACACCATCTAAATCTGTCCCACCCCTTCCTGTTCAAGACATTTTGCGTAACCTGTCAGTCGCTGGATACAGCTTCGGACAGGTTGCGCTATTAGCGTTTCAGGGAAGCCAGGGTGGGCTGTAAAGGATCTCTGGTGGGCTCTGCAGGTTCTCAGGCTGAGATTGCCAGAGTCTCTGCAAACCCCACCAGGAACCCTGCAGAGCCCACCATTGACCTTGCACAACCCACCATAGACCCTGCACAGAGACTCTCAGGTGGGCTGTGCAGGGTCCCTTTCGCTGCACATGTGCTGCTGCTCTTACCTGCAGTTCCACAGCCTGCTTCCAGGACATGCTGCTTCTTCCTCCAGCCTGGAGACGGCAAAGCCTCTTCCTCGAGCCGTCCACAGCCTCTGTTGTCTGGGCCGTGTCTTCCTTGGCCATGCCTCCTTCACCCGGCAGCTCACTGCCAGGCCCCACCAGCAGCCACCTGATTAGGCAACCGAGGCTGCCTGAATTTGTGCACCTGGGGCCGGCTTACCTCTGATTTGGGGGTGGCATTTTTCGCCGCCCCTCTGCAAAGTGCCGCTCCAGGCATCTTCTATTCTACCGATACTACAAGCCACCCTTTGGTCCAGTCTGCAAATACTCCAGGTCACCAGTTAGTAGAGCTGGATACTACAGGTCACCCTCTGGTCTTGTCTGCTTGTACTACAGGTCACCCTCTGGTCCACTCTCCTCTTAACATAGCTCACCCTCCAGTGTGTTCTGCTAATGCTACAAGTTACCTTGGATAATACTACAGATCACACGGTAGTCCAAATGGATAATATTACACATCACCCTGCCATCCATTCAGATAATGTTACAGGTTCATGGCCCAGACAGATGATGTTACAAATAAGTTTGCATGATACTACATGTCACTGTCCAGGGCACTTGGATGATACTACAGGTCAGGACCTGTCTGATCCTGAAGGATATGACAGATCACCCTCTGTTGCATATGTTGTGGTTTGTTTCCTCTGTGTCCTCATAATTGGTTTATTTGTGTTCCTGATCAGCAGCCATAACTGTATATGTACCTCTGTACTCCCCACTTCTTTCTTCTAAAAGTAGAGAAACTTATTAACAGACAGTAGGAGGCCAAGTAAGAGGTGTTAAAATATAATTGTGTATTAAAGTCTTTTATTTATTAAGTGGCGTCAAGTCAATGCCAACTCCTGGCGACCACATTAAAGCTGAGCCCCAGGTATAAATATTTATGTATACTTATATTGGTCCAGCTTGGCCCAATGTAAGTATACATATTTTAGACCTGGTAGGGCAACGGGAATCCTGTAAAATACTGTTTTAGCCGGCGCTACCACAGTGCTTTACTGCAATCTTCCAGGCCCTGTACTGCCGCTGTGCTGACCAACTTCCCCTCTGCTGTGAAAACAGTGCATTGCTCACTCAGCACATCGGCCATTCAGCAAGTGCCTAGTATTTTTATTCAACAAAGAGCAGTGATGTCACTGTGTTGTCTCTTGTCTAATCAGAGAACGCCTAGTATTCATTGATAAAAAATACTAGGCGTTTCTTGATTGAACAAGAGGTGGTGCACCAACTACTACAGTGTTTTGCTGTATCCCTGTTGCCCTACCAGGTATAAAAAATGTATACTTATATTGAGCCACGCTGGACCAATGTTTGTGTGTGTGTGTGTGTCATGGGCAAAATATTGGCCCCCCTGCATTTCTGTCAGATAATGCACCACTTCGCTCAGAAAATTGTTGCAATTACAAATGTTTAGGCATTCTCATGTTTATTTCTTTTGTTTGTATTGGTATGACACAAAAAAAGTGAAGAAAACAAAAGCCAAATCTGACACATTCCACACAAAACTCCAAAAATGGACTGGACAAAATGATTGGCACCCTCGATTAATATTTGGTAGCACAGCCCTTAGAAAAATAACTGAAATCAATCGCTTCCTGTAACCATCAATGATTTTCTTACACGACTCTACAGGAATTTTCGCCAACTGTTCCAGGTCTCTCAGATTGGAAGGGTTCCTTTTCCCAACTGCTCTTTTGAGATCTCTCCACAGGTGCTCTATAGGATTTATATCTGGACTCATTGCTGGCCAGTCCAGTACTCTCCAGCACTTTGTCTGAAACAATTTCTTGGTGCTTTTTGATGTGTGCTTTGGGTCATTGTCCTGCTGTAAGACCCACGGCCTCTGACGAAGACCCAACTTTCTGACACTGGACCCTACATTCCACCCCAGAATTCTTTGGTAGTCTTCAGATTTCATAATGCCATGCACACAGTCAAGACATCCAATGCCTGAAGCAGCAAAGCAACCCCAAAATATCAGCAGTGGGGTCCTCATGGGTCTCCTACCCTAGCGTCCCTTTTCATTCAGATGGCGACGTATAGTGCAAGCTAAATTGTAGAAATGTCACCAGCGCACCAATCCTTTTAAGATAGCAAAAGCTTTATTTATTGAAGTTTTGTCATATGACCAAAAAACTTCAATAAATGAAGCTTTTGCTGTCTTAAAAGGATTGGTGTGCTGGTGACATTTCGAGGTTTCACATCATTCACTTTTGTATAATTTCGACAATTTTGCTGACATTCGTGGCGCCATCTGCAGTCACTGCGAGCACCCACCACTACAAGGGACATATCGGTAAGGAGTGCGACAAGGATAGTACGTATAGTGCGAGCTGACTATTCTCATTATCAGTTGGTGAGAAAGAGAGATATTAAAATTAAATGTGTCTAGGCAGTACCCTGAAGGCCTGTATTTGCAGTGTGAAATCTAAGGCCTGCTAGTCTTGTGAGGTTTGGAGTGAGATTTGTTGATGCCGCTACTGTGCTGCTCATTGTTCTCCTTGCTGGAAAGGAAGCTGTCCCTGAGGACTTGCAGTCAAGGATTTCCCTGCATCTTCATTCATTCTGTAGATCTCTGCTTTCTCCACATATGCTGCTGCTTCCTGACCATCACACCCCCCCCCTGCAGAGAGACCACAGCCTAAATCACTGACTAGTCATTTGTTCTCTGCTTTCATTTTTTAGGCACAGTTTTCGCAGTTAAAATAGAACTATGGACTTCAAGACTTTAAAGCTGAACTCCAGGTATGCAATATTTGACATACTTACATTTGTCCATGCTGTCCCAATGTAGATTTACATATGTCATACCTGATCGGCTGCTCGGGATCCTGTAAAGCAGTGTAGTAGCCGGAGCTGCTGATAAGACGATATCGTCCACATCCTGTAATCTGCTAAGTGGCTTCCCCTTTGTTCTGAAAACACAGGGGGTCACTCACTTGGTATAGTGGCCATTTAGATAACACCTGGTATTCGTATCAATGAATACAATTCTCTTATTGGATTAAGGATAGATCATGATGGATCATGATGTCACCACCCCTCCAATCAGATGGTGCTTTGTTTTCGTTCATAAAAATACTAGAAATTCTATGAATGGCTGCCATGCCAAGCTAGTCACTCCATATGTTTTCAGAGCAGAGGGGAAGCCGCTCACCACAGTACAGGACCTGGAAGATGGTGGCCAGTACTGTAGGAGCTCCGGCTACTACAGCACTTTACAGGATCCCAGCAGCTGATCAGGTATGGCATATGTATTGTATATCTACATTGGGAAGAGCTGGACCAATGTAAGAATGCAAAATAAGGCATACCTGGAGTTCATCTTTAAAACAAAATACGTGCTTACACACAGTCCCACAAATACCTGTTGATCCTGTCCGTGAAATCCACCTAATGCAGCTTCCTGTGATGGTGTGGGGAGGATGCTGCACTGCTCCTGAATTCAGAGCAGAGTTGCCGCTCTCATGTAGGTTCTACCAGCTTGCATTACAGAGGTATGAAAAAGTGTTGCAGGGGATGTGACTATAATTGTCACTGTTGATTCACAAGCCTGTAGTTTGTCAATTTGCACCTGGGCACACATACAGGTGAAACTCGAATAATTAGAATATCGTGCAAAAGTAATTGCAGTAAGTCCTGCAAAAGGTGCCCAAACCAAGTACTGAGTACATATGCATGCTTGTACTTTTCAGAGGTCCGATATTGTTCTATGTACAATCCTTGTTTTATTGATTGCATGTAATAATCTCATTTTTTGAGGTTGTGGATTTGGGGTTCTTGGGGTTTTCATGAGCTGTAAGCCATAATCATCACAATGATGACAAATCACGGCTTGAACTATCTTGCTTTGCATGTAATGAGTCTATCTCATATATTAGTTTCACCTTTAAGTTGCATTAGTGAAATAAATGAACTTTGCACGATATTCTAATTATTCGAGTTTCACCTTTAGTCATGACCACTGCTTTCTGGACTGACAGCACTGCCTCTGTTGGTGAAAGCTGCCCACTGTGAGCTGCAGTGCTGGGAAGGGCAGCATTTGAGATACAAATGAGAAGATTTGACTCAGTCAGAGAAGGCAAGAAAGTTTTTATTGTTTTTGTTTTTTATTTTCTACTTTTTTAGGCTTGTGTATCGCATAGTAACCAGATTTTGGATTTGTTTAGACTGTCATACAGGAGCCTGTAGTTGTACTTTAATGTTTTACTAGAACAGTAACAATTTGATTGCTTGTTGGGGACAACCGATATGGTTCTTCTCTCAGTGTGAATGATGAGCACGGTTACTCTCCTCGTTTTCGGTTTATGTTTCCGCTCTGTCTGTGTGGAGTATGTTGTTTTTGGGTGTGCCATTCTAATTTCCACCTCTGTGATGAATTTGGACAGCCTGAGATACAGAAAACTTGTGATAAAGTAGGTGGTGTTAGTTGGTGTTTACACACACACATATCGTGTAGATAACATTCTTCCTTGCTCTGCAAACATTATACCAGGAGTGCCAGTTCCCACAATCTGGCTTTCCATTGTAAGAGATGACCTCTCATACAGCATAAGGTGCAGACAGCCATTAATCATGACCTCCTGCAACTTTTGCTAAATAATTTGCTTCATGTCACCAGTTTCAGTATTGTAAACGCATGTAGAATACGGCATCGTCATGGACTTGTATTAGTTCTGCTGCGCTCAGCGCTCAGTATTGGCCCTTTGGGTGTCATTGGCAGCTGGGTGTCATATTCCCAGAAGTCTGTCCCATGTTAAATACACATGGATGTTAAGCAAATTTAATTTGCATCATTCGAGAAAAGTCAGATCAGGGATTGCTTATTGGTTTCTATGGTTTACGTCATGCTTTATTCAGCAGGATCTAGCTTCTTTTCTGAGAAATATAGCAGGGGTAAGGGGGGAAGGCGTATTTTTTGACTAAACAATATATGGCCTGAGATCATACGCATATTCTGATGGCTGTCCTCATCTCTCAAGTAGCTGGTGGACTCTATACTATCTTCCATCCCCACCATTTTAATCAGCCTGATCAATACTGTCTACCCATCTTCACAGTCATCCAGCAAACCTTCATCTAACCTTCTGCTAATGAAGAGTGAGCCCGGCCGTAGATTTAGAATATGAACTATGGCAGCAGTTGAGGTGTGACATTTCATCAACGGGCGGTTGGATAGATGGGCTCGTCTAAACGTCCTGCGGAATCATATTACTGATAACTGAAGGTAAAATGTAGTGAAAAATAGCAGGAGAAATGCCGCAACCTGGGAAGATTAGAAAAGTTTACCGAGGTCACATCAATCCCAAACTTCACCATGAGATGACCGCACTTGTATATATGAATTGTGCTTCTATGTGACGAATAATTAGAATATCGTGCAAAAGTAATTGCAGTAAGTCCTGCAAAAGGTGCCCAAACCAAGTACTGAGTACATATGCATGCTTGTACTTTTCAGAGGTCCGATATTGTTCTATGTACAATCCTTGTTTTATTGATTGCATGTAATAATCTCATTTTTTGAGGTTGTGGATTTGGGGTTCTTGGGGTTTTCATGAGCTGTAAGCCATAATCATCACAATGATGACAAATCACGGCTTGAACTATCTTGCTTTGCATGTAATGAGTCTATCTCATATATTAGTTTCACCTTTAAGTTGCATTAGTGAAATAAATGAACTTTGCACGATATTCTAATTATTCGAGTTTCACCTTTAGTCATGACCACTGCTTTCTGGACTGACAGCACTGCCTCTGTTGGTGAAAGCTGCCCACTGTGAGCTGCAGTGCTGGGAAGGGCAGCATTTGAGATACAAATGAGAAGATTTGACTCAGTCAGAGAAGGCAAGAAAGTTTTTATTGTTTTTGTTTTTTATTTTCTACTTTTTTAGGCTTGTGTATCGCATAGTAACCAGATTTTGGATTTGTTTAGACTGTCATACAGGAGCCTGTAGTTGTACTTTAATGTTTTACTAGAACAGTAACAATTTGATTGCTTGTTGGGGACAACCGATATGGTTCTTCTCTCAGTGTGAATGATGAGCACGGTTACTCTCCTCGTTTTCGGTTTATGTTTCCGCTCTGTCTGTGTGGAGTATGTTGTTTTTGGGTGTGCCATTCTAATTTCCACCTCTGTGATGAATTTGGACAGCCTGAGATACAGAAAACTTGTGATAAAGTAGGTGGTGTTAGTTGGTGTTTACACACACACATATCGTGTAGATAACATTCTTCCTTGCTCTGCAAACATTATACCAGGAGTGCCAGTTCCCACAATCTGGCTTTCCATTGTAAGAGATGACCTCTCATACAGCATAAGGTGCAGACAGCCATTAATCATGACCTCCTGCAACTTTTGCTAAATAATTTGCTTCATGTCACCAGTTTCAGTATTGTAAACGCATGTAGAATACGGCATCGTCATGGACTTGTATTAGTTCTGCTGCGCTCAGCGCTCAGTATTGGCCCTTTGGGTGTCATTGGCAGCTGGGTGTCATATTCCCAGAAGTCTGTCCCATGTTAAATACACATGGATGTTAAGCAAATTTAATTTGCATCATTCGAGAAAAGTCAGATCAGGGATTGCTTATTGGTTTCTATGGTTTACGTCATGCTTTATTCAGCAGGATCTAGCTTCTTTTCTGAGAAATATAGCAGGGGTAAGGGGGGAAGGCGTATTTTTTGACTAAACAATATATGGCCTGAGATCATACGCATATTCTGATGGCTGTCCTCATCTCTCAAGTAGCTGGTGGACTCTATACTATCTTCCATCCCCACCATTTTAATCAGCCTGATCAATACTGTCTACCCATCTTCACAGTCATCCAGCAAACCTTCATCTAACCTTCTGCTAATGAAGAGTGAGCCCGGCCGTAGATTTAGAATATGAACTATGGCAGCAGTTGAGGTGTGACATTTCATCAACGGGCGGTTGGATAGATGGGCTCGTCTAAACGTCCTGCGGAATCATATTACTGATAACTGAAGGTAAAATGTAGTGAAAAATAGCAGGAGAAATGCCGCAACCTGGGAAGATTAGAAAAGTTTACCGAGGTCACATCAATCCCAAACTTCACCATGAGATGACCGCACTTGTATATATGAATTGTGCTTCTATGTGACGGAGATTCATCCTCCAAGGCTCAGGGACAGTGAGCATAATGAGGTCTACAAGGAGAAGTCCTGTCTGAAAAGTGGCAAGAGTTAGAAATCCTTGTTGTGACCTGCACACCTGGCGATGACATCTGACAGCCATTTAGATTTGCTTTGTAGGTTTCTGAGTGCCACTACGAGAATAAAAGGAACCCTGTCATTTAAAGAAAGGCATACACTAACTTTCTTCTAAAAATGCTGTTTACATGGCTGTAATGCTGATCTCCTGACTTCAGTACTTTCAGCCACTTTTCCAGAACAAGCATACAGCTAGTGAAATCTGAACTCCTAATGTGCATGCTTGTTTTAGGATAGTGGCTCACAAAGTATTAAAGCCAGAGGATCAGTATGTCAGGGAGGCAGTTCCCATTTTCAGAATGGCAGTCTATGCATTTTTCTCAACACTGGTTCCCTTAAAGCACAGAATCTTACTGGCTGCTATGGGTAGCAGCTCCCAAAGCCCTTATGATTGTAAAACCAGAGAAGTCCAGTGCTCTGTTGAAATATGAGATGAGCATTAAGAGCCGTAGCTAGCTCCCTTGTGCCCGAGGCAAGAACCCAACGCCGCACAATATGTGGATTATATCATTTGTGCAAAAAATGGGGGGAAACAAAAAAAAAAGGGCCTTGGCAGCGAAAGGGTTAAAGTCAAAAGTTTTTAAAAGGTACTTTAAATGCTGATTGAATCACTTACACTGAGTGCTGCCTCTTTGTGTTTAAACATTTTAGCTTCTTGCAGAATCAGCTGGTCCCCTGAGCACTGGCCCTGATATTCTGTTTTAGGGTGGCTTCTTTCCCTTGCAGGGTCCTATGGGGCCCCCCTGGTGTGTTCTAGTGAGCTCTGTATGTCTCCACAAACACACAGGCACAGCAAGGCAAACCATTCCCCTTCTACTCTTTCCTCCTTCCTTCTCCAAGCTAGTAGATGAACAGTTGATGGAGACAGCTCTGTTCCTTGTGATCTAGTACTGGACAGGAAGTTCAGGGAAGCTGACAGAGTTGGGGCCAGCTGTTTGGAAATATGACTAAGTGTTTGGGCAAAAATGTAAAGAAATAGTTTGCTGGGCAATACACATTTTTGTTTGATCTGGTTTCAATATTGAAAAAAGGCATGAGCGTTTGATTCTACTTTAAGCTGCTTATACTCCCATCTGGAGGTATTCTATGTGTTTCTTTGTCTTGCAGTTTCCACTGGGCCGCCGTTTGCCATGTGACATTTACTGGCATGGAGTATCCTTCCATGATAGCGACAATATTTGCTCTGGACAGGTCAACAAGTTTCCAGGTATGCTTTTCATAGATCATGCCAGCAGCTTGTCATTGCCTATTACCTTCTTGTACATTTACTTGTCGTTATTGAAATGATGATAATTGCAAACTGATTGGTTGTTGATAATGAAGACCGGTGTCAGCCTCCCAGAATCCTCTCCTGCTTAGGGAAGGCTGTACACTTTGCTGATTATATGAGCCTGGCAATGCTAATTTTGATTTAGATTGTGTGACTTCTCTTTGAAGGTATGACTGAAATGGTGCGTAAAATAAACTTTAGCCGGGCTGTGAGGACCATGCAAGAACTATTTCCTGAGGAATATGACTTCTACCCACAATCCTGGATCCTTCCTGAAGAGTATCCTATCTTCAGTGCACAGGTGAGTGCCAGGCACTGGGCCACTGTCTTCTGTCAGCATGTGTAAAGTGAGATCACAGGTATCATGTCATATGTTATATCATTTAGCATGACTGAAGCTTCTCTGTAGATCACTAATAGTTCCAGATGTCTTGTCTTGGAGAGAGTGTTAGTAGTACTGTTGCTGTAATAGCGATGTTCTCATTGTTTCCTCTTCCATGTGATTTTGTTCACCTGATGGGCAACACGGTACACGTGGTATACTCCTGACACGGAGATCTTTAAAGCGACACTAAACTCAGGGGTTAAATATTAAAAATGCAGTTAAGTACCTTAACTATTAACAAAAATGTTACTTATTTGTGTATCACTCGGCTGTAGATCTTTGAATTAGTGCTGACACTGTCCTTCCTTCTGAAGGGGGGCTACTTTTGTTCCCCATGGTCCCTGTGTGTTGTAAAGTAGCCACTGTTCATTGCTCGCTCCTGTGATGGACTACAGTCTCGCGTTTAGTTTACTAATTTGTATTGTTATTTTAGTCCATTACGGGAGTTAGCTTGGAGCGGTGACTAGTTTACAACACACAGGGACATGTTGAACAAAAGTAGCCACCCTCCAGAAGGAAGGACAGTGTCGGCACCAATTCAGAGATGATTTGAGGATCTACAGCGGAATGAGCTACATGTTCATTAATAGTTGAGGTACTTGAATGCATATTTAAGATTTAACTCCTAAATTTAGTGTCACTTTAAATGCACATTACCTGATGGTATATATTACGGAGGTTATGGATGTCCTGATGTTTGCAAACAATATACAGGCAGTCCCCGGGTTACGAACAAGATAGGGACTGTAGGTTTGTTCTTAAGTTGAATTTGTATGTATGTTGGAACAGGTACATTCGTACAAGTGTAACGCCAGCCAAGCATATATTATAGCATAGGGAAGGGTTAACCCTTGTAAAGTTTGCTTTGCTGTGTGTCCATGATCAGATGATTTCACCTCACTTTCTGTCCCTGTGACAATTGGATTTTGAAAATTTTGGGTTGTCGTGGAAACAAGTATTGGTGATAAAGGTTCAGTTGAGACACCTTTTTCCTATGATAACTTACAGGAGTGAATTTCCCTTCCTAGGGGTAGATTTCCTCTCACTTCCTGTTGTCTCAAGGACAGGAAGTGAGATTAAATCTTTCTAATGAGCATACAGACAGCAGTAAAAACCTCACAGTGACCCGGAAGAAGAGGTGGGCACCCCTCGTCTGCACGTCTAACAAGAGCCAACTTTCTGTAATGTACATACGAAGCAGACCCAAAAAGGTGGGCACTCCTCGTCAGCACGAGCGTGGTAGCATTTCAACTACCCCTGTTGTACAGTAATAGCCTCCGTTTGTAAGTTGGATGTTTGTAACTCGGGGACTGCCTGTATATATCTGACTTCCAAAATAATTTCTGATGATCCAGAGACTTTTGTGTGGTGTGCAGGGCTTATTAGGGGTGATAAAAGTTGTCACAATCCAACGTTTGCAATCAGACCACCGATCCACTATTCCTACTGGGGAGATTTCTACTCCTTTGCTGTCCGTCTAACACTTTGGCTCTGGGACAGAAGCGAGGAGGAATGGGGACACAAGAAAGGAAATTTGACAAAGGTTCTAATCCTTCCCACACTGGAAACAAATAAGGATAAAGTTTGGGATGCAGCTGGGCTGATTCCACTATTCTGTTTTTGTCACAGTGAAATGTGTGCGATGGAGGATCCTGGAATGGAAATTATATACACTGTAAGGATATAATTGTGTGGCATCTTTTGAATGCTGACATTTTTTGCCATTGTGACTAGACTTAGGCTAGAGCACTCAGTTTGGTATTTATCTTCCATTTAAACATATGGAGGGGAATTTATCAAAACTGGAGCAGACAAAATCTGGAGCAGTTGCCCATAGCAACCAATCAGCTTCTCTCTTCAGTTTGTTCAGTTAAGATTTGAAAAAGAAACAGAGAAGCTGATTGGTTGATATGTACAGCTGCTCCAGATTTTGTCTGCTCCAGTTTTGATAAATTCCCCTCACGATATCTGGCTCCTCAGGGAGTGGACTGACTGGCTCCTGAATTCGGCATTGGTCTGTTCGTTGAAGTAAAAACAGTTATATAGCAGGTATAGGTACAGCAGCATGTAATTACACAGAAGTGCTGTAACAGAAGCAATACGTTGCGTATGTGGGAAGGGAAATTGTGCTAAAACAAAAACAGGCACTGACTTCATCCATAAGGCAGAGCAATGATGTGCATTACCCACAGCAACCAATCGCCTTTCAGTTTGCTGTAATTGCTGATTGATTGCTTCTAGTTATTGCATTTAGCTCTTATTTCTTAGTAAATGGGTAGCTTCATACAGATTTGTTTGCCATAGTCTGAAAACTGAGCTGCAACCTTCGATGAGGCTGCAGGTGGCAGCACAGACCCACAGATATTCCTATTGAGGTTTAGAATTATGAGCCGCACTGGCAACTGATAGTTAGCTGGTTAGTGACTTAACCAAAAATACCATGTGCCTATCATTGCTGTATCCGATTTAGTCACGCCTGTTTTGCTTGAATTGAAATTATCTAGAGATTGTTAGATATATATGTGAATTACTAAGATTTATTGTATTTTGTTGTTGTTGTGTTTTTTAACCTTGTTCCTGTGTATAATGTGTGATCTTATTTGTAAATGGGGGCACCCACATATTCGCATTACATAGGTAACATTTGCCATCTGATTAGTAGCTGCTGTAATTGTACTACTCACAACAGGCTCTTAGTGCAATCCACCAAAAACACAAACGTACATTCAGAATCTGCTTACTGAGAATACACCGTGGGTATTTGTGTGTCAGGCTTCCATCACAGATCCACAAAAAATTCCTTACTTTAGGATATTGGGTAGAGCCATGACAATCATTCTTTTATGCCCCTGTGGGCAAATGTACACCTAGAACCACCGTTTCTAGCCCAGATAGAGCCTAATACTATATTTGTGGTTCCTTTTAACCCCTCACCATAAGATATCTAGTTGTTCCATTGTATCGGTCATGTATAAGCCCTACTCCAAAGAAGCTGTGGTTTCCATACACTGCACTGATGATGGCCAACTAGCCTATAAAAGCTGTATGCAGTGTGCAAAAAATAAAGCCCACATTATTGTCATGTTTGGGGCAATTTAAAGCGTTATGAAGCTCAGCAAATAAGAGTGAGCTGTTTAGATTTATTTACCCGGTTGGGGACACTTGGCAACACTTTCTGATGTTTACCAAGTGCCCTAATTGTATCCCATGGAGATTTGGCCTTCTTGTAAAGAAGCATCGCTATAATTCTATAAAGAATGTACAGTCCTGCCCTATGGAGGTGGGGAAATGTGAAAAATTATAATAATTATCTCCTCTAGTTAGCTTCCAATCTTCATTTTTAAACTGTAATTACATATTTTATTATAAACTAATTGTAATTATTTCCATTGAGCGCAGTAATTACTGCTGTCTATTTATTTAATGATTTTTGGATCCTGGTGCTTCAGGGAGCAGAAACCTTCCCGAATCGCAGCCCTGTGAGGAGCGCAGTGCAGGCGCCGGCCTGTCAGTCGCGGACGGTCGATGGGAAACGTTTGGCAGCGCAGGGAAATTTGGGTTCCAAGCTGTGTCTGGGCATTTAATAAAGGATGTTAGTACGTAATTAGCTAGAAAATAAACATTTTTAATGAGGCCTGCGGTAGGTTTGATTTCAGCACATGGAGGCAGACTGGGGAGACGGCTGTCTGATAACATTCACCAACCTAAATTGTAAAATACCAGATGAGTGACAAGGTCAGTTCAAGGATATGTTCACGAACTGCAAAGATCTTCCACCGATAGGTCCTGTACAATACTCTCCTCATTCAGATTCTGGAAGAAGTCTCCACTGCCTGAGCTCTGCCTTCATTGGTGTCACGCTCTGGAGGTGGGGTTGTGACCACCAAGTAAGAGGACAGCAAGGGGTTTATATGTGACAGTGTATGAAATGTTCCTGTATTACCTGCAGTCTTATCTTATCACTGGCTTAAAGGAGAACTATGAGGTGAGTGCTTTTCACTCACCTCATCCGTGCAGGCCCCACCTCGCAACTTACGGGACTTAAAGGATCTGCTACTGAAGGCTTGGTACCAGATATCACTGCATAATATCCGATGTCTAGTGGAGTCCATACCATGTTAGGTCTCTTTTAGCAGCAAAAGGGGGACCTACTCAGTATTAGGCGAGTTGCTATAAATGTCATGGCTGGTGTGTATAACATGAATATATATATATATATATATAAGTATATCTGCTTTATTTGAGCCACCTAGACAAAACGCACATTTAACCCTTTCAGTGCATGGGTAGCCCCACTGCAAGGGTCCGTTCTGGCATTCTTCTTTTATGGAAATATATATGTTTTAAGTTATATTCATATATGCAGTGTGAGCTACTGGCCTCTGTTAGATACAACTATATTTAAACTCACTTCTAGGTGGAGTAAAACTGAATTAATTTTACTTACATTTGTGACACCATTGCTGTCATCACAGCTGGTGGCACATAAACTCTAAGAACTCTACTAAGCACTGTTTTCTTCTAAACACAGCTTAGTTTTTCAGCTGAATGTGTAATTTTACCATCATTCAAACTCAGTGAACTGCTATTTAATTTCCAGTATCACTGTAAAAGCATAATATAGAAGGTTCACATTTGAGTTTTATTTAATCTATTACAGCCAAGTGTGGCAAACAATTCATGTGGACTTCTAGTTGTGATTGCAGCCTCCTGTTACATGGTCTTGTACTATGAATTCTTCAATTTTTTTTGTTAAAAGCAGTATGTTGGTATTACCAGAACTCCAAATTATCATTGACTGGCCTGGCTTCCTACAGCTGTGCCAGGACTGAGAAAAAAACTAAAAAAGCTCTGTTTATTTCACAGCCTTAATGTAGTTAGAATAGACTGGAATGATGGTGCGATTCATTGTATTC